CAGGCACTGCCTAGCCCGCCACCACTGCCATCCACCATCCTGCACCGCTGCGTGCAAGCCCCATCCCTCCCACACTCTGCGTCTGGCTGCCACCACCAGAAGGGGCACACTCCTTTAAAACAGATTGAAAACCCCTGCTGTAGAGATGTCAACAAAACCTGGAAACGGTACAATATAAGTACCAATCAGGACTACTTTCCATATTGGTTCCCAATATGATCTGCAGAGCTATGTTGACATGGTAGTGCATGCCACTGGTTCCACACATACAACCACAATTAAAGAGGCTTACTACACTGCATTCAGGAATTCCTTACAGCTAGTTTCCTGCACATAAGACAAATATTTTCATTTACAAGAGAATTCTGCAATAAGGGGCTGCCATTGCTATGGAGTAGTTACAGGAATGAAGCAGCACCTTCACTGGGCATTTCCTTACGTCTACAAATATACAGATTTTCTCCATATCTTACATACTCATGGGGGATAGGTGGGGAGACTAATGATCAGCTCCTGACATTCTACTGGGCAAATCAAGGATTCTGAAATTCCAAGACCTAGAAGGCCACGGGAGACAGGAGCCCCATTATGTGGCAGTGACCTGTCCTGGTGAAATTACTTTCAAAAGTGAATAACTCAGAAGGTCTTCAGACAGGGAAAATGCTGAGCAAGTGGAGTCCCAGCTGATGCAGGATGTGTAGCGGTACTCCCCACTGAGTACAGATTCCCAGAAAATGTGAAAAAGGGAGAGAGACAAGGTCATACAGGAAGTCTTTGGCACAGCCTGGGAGGGGTATTCTAAATCTCTACCATCTTGGATTTTAACTGCAAGACCATGGCATTGCCCTTTATGAAAATCTACCAGTCCAAAACACTGGACTCATGCACAGCTTGACTTAATCAGGAAATAAACACCACTGCTCAAATTGGGAAGATATCTACCTTAAAGCTAACTGCTCAGTCCTCCTCATCCTCAGAAAAGATTAGAAAAGAGACAGGACTCACCAAGTGCCCCAAAGGCCAACAAACACTAGTTGTGCCAGTCCAGACTAGGGAAAGAGTTGCAAAGCAGCAGCTCTTCCCACTTCTGTATTTTCAGTAATTGCACTTAAAAACTACTTCCCATTTGGAAAGAAGTGTTTCATTTTAAGCATAGGGAGTCCTTCTGGGAGGATCTTCCAAACTGGACACAATTAAATCACAGCCACTGTGTATACATCTCTCTGATATCCATGCAGACTGAAGTTAACCAATGCCAATTTACAGCAGTTAAGCACCCAGCCAACTGTACACTACAAACCAAAGTGTGCATATAAATGAGGTATCTGTGTTGACTTCATCATGTGCCCACTAATCCATCACTCAGAGGCTATATACCACAGGGACCGCACACTGCAGTCAGGCATCCCCCTCTCCCAGCTCCCTTCCATTGTGCAGGCTGCCCAGTCCTCCCCACTACATTGCGGTCATAGTACAGGCAGCCCAACTCCCTCCCGCTGCAAAGTGCTTCACCCACTCCTCTCACTACTGTGCATACCACCCACCTGCAGTGTGTGCAGCCTGGCTCCCTTCTTTGCCACACACACAGCTTAGGCACTTCAGCCATCTCTCAGCCACAGGGGCAACAGCAACTAGGAGGAGGAGGAAGAGGCAGGTGGGAGCCCGTGATCTGCATGCCAACACTTTCAGGACTGCATGTGGCCAGTGGACTGACAGCTGGACAGCCCTGCCCTATAACACTCAACTTTAAGAGAAAAGTTGCCAAGTTGAGAGTAACAGTTGTGCATAAATTACTTTCCACCAACTATTATTGTTATTAAAAGTAACACCAAGATTATTTAGTGGCAGGGCTACAGTAGGAGAAAATGCAGTTTTCCTTCACACACATGGCTGAATATTACTGGGCCCGGTGCCTCACTAGAACAAAACGGCATGTGTACTCAGCTCTCGTGCCTCTGGACAGCTCCTCCAGTCCTCCATGAGGATCAGAATTTAGTTTGCTGCTCACACCTGCTCAGCTGAGAATCTGTTCTTCAAATAAAAAAGTTGGCTACCCTGCACCCTGTATAGCTAGAAATAGGTAGGTATCATAGGATAAAGAAACAATTCCTGGCTAACCAATGGCATCTGCCATTCACATCAACCCAGAGACAGACTTTGAAGCAATTTCTTTTTAGAAACACAAAGCTATTTTAGACATTTTAAAAGGTGATCATGTGCCACACAGAGAGGTGCACTCTAATCTGGAGTTTATGTTGGACTTGTGATATATTCCTAACCCAGAACCATCCAGAGATGACAATGCTGACAGGCTGGAGGAAGGCCAGGAAACAGGCTCTCCGTTAAAGTTAACTTCTTGTCTAACATTTCATATTCTGATATAAACACAGTTCACCTGAGAGAGGGAACCCAAATGTACCTCTAAGAAAGGCAGTATGCCTGCACAGCAGGCAAGGCACCAATCTATGCTGAGACAGCTCATGCTTCTTTGCTCCTGCCTACTTCACTCCTACTTCCGCAAAATGTCAAGCATACCAAGGAAAAGTGAGGTCAAGTTTCAAACCACCAGTTTAAAATGTTATCTTCAGCAATTTGCTCTGCTTTCTATCGTTTTGTACAGGGCACCTATTCCTGTACATGGGTCCCTTCAGAACTGGAGTCTGTAAAGTGGAAACAATTCTAACAAACCCACAAAGCATAGATAGAGCAGAATCGCTCCCCAGGGGTGGCTATGATGCCCCATGGTGGTCAAATGATTCCTGCCCTGCTTGGCCTGTAAGATACTCTTCTCCCTTTTCATTCACCTGCCACGCCTTGATCTTTTTAGTAGGTTTGGAAAGGGAGGCTGCCCAAGGGTCTTGGACTGAGCCTTAGTCTATCTTCCTGCCAGCAGATACCTCACAGATCCCACTGATCTCAGCTGAACCCCCTCCCCTCAACAAACCCCTACCCTGGCCTGTACGTGTCCCCAGGGGACCTGTTGCCTTATGCACAGCCTCTGACCGTCCCCTACAGCCATGCCCATGCCTCACAGTTGTTACCGATCTTTCATATCAGTGGAGATATAGCCCCAAATCTCTTCTCTAATGGTTCAGGCCTCTATGCCCTTATTATCCTTTGCCTCTCATGGGCTATGGGCCCAGTCTTTGCCCTTCCTAGGTTGTGGGCTCACTGGTCCTGTTTAGTCTCTACCCTGCTTGGGCTGTGGGCCACTGGCCCTAGTTCTCACACCTCCAGGGCCATGGGTCACTAACCCTAACTCTGTCACTCTCAGGCTTTAGGCCCTTGGCCCAGTCTCTGTCTCACTATCTCACTCTCCTGCTGGACTGCTGGCCTAGATCCTTGCCCTTTTGGGCTATACTGTAGCTTGCATCTTGTCCTGGAAAACTCCAGCCTGACTTGCCTCCCTGACACTCTGGGACCTCCTATCCTCCTGTATCAGTCCCACCTGGTGTACTGGTCCAAACTCAAACCAACGTAAGTGCACTGGCTGCAACTTAAATCTAAGTGCACTGGTTGTCTACTAAAAACTCCCATTCACTGAGTGTCTCTGACCCCTATCAACCCTCAACTCATCACTTGTTCTCACGCTTGACAGGGTCCCAGTCAGTCAACTACAAATGAGGGCTGAGAGGGGATCTGGTGGCCATCTATAAACTTACCAAGGGGGACCAGCGGGGAATGGGAGAGGCCCTGTTCCCCCAAGCACTACCAGGAGTAACTAGGAATAAAGGCCACAAGTTGATTGACAGCAGGCTCAGGCTAAATATCAGGAGGCACTACTTCACTATCAGGGCAGCTAGGATCTGGAACCAACTTCCAAGTGGTGCTCACTCCTACCCTGGGGGTCTTCAAAAGGAGACTAGATAATCATCTAGCTGGGGTCATTGGACCCCAGCATTCTTTCCTGCCCATGGCAGGGGGTCAGACTTGATGATCTGCTCCTTCTGACCCTACCAACTATGAAACTATGAAACCTGCAACAGCCATCTTGCAGCAAGGATCTTTCCCCTTTGGCCTGCAGGGCCAGACTGACCATTCTGGCTAAGGATCTGGGTTTATACATCTCCCAGGCCCTGCCCTCTTCCATTCAGATAAGTCCCTGGACTAGCTGCAGGTGTTTCCTGATTTAGCTTACTGGCTTAACTCCAAGGTAGCTTACTGCCACTGGTCGTTGCTGCAGTACTATCTTGTCTCCCATACAGGGCTCTAGCCTACTGTACTACTGCAGAACAGCTAGCTCTGCAATAGGTAGTGGTAGCAGGTAAATCCCTGGGGACCCACTCTCTGGCAGATCATAACAAGCAGCGTCCCCTTCATGAGGCTCTCCCTGCTGTTCTTTTCATCCTTAAAGTAACAGGAGCCCTAGGCTCCCTGGTGCAAAAGGTCACTTCATTATTGTTCTATTTTCACTCAGTGTGAACACAGGGTGATACTAAGAGCTCTTCAAGGAGGCTCAGAGGAAGCAACTCTTTCATTTCTGCTTCTGTTAAGCCTTCAGAGGCAGAAGTTAAATGCTGCCAGCTGCCTCTTCTCTTCTCCCCTACCAAAGCCTAAACCGTGAGTACTCTAAGTACACAGCTGAAGAGAACCGATCCCTTCCATTTAACTGTTTCCTTGACTGGTAAGAAAAGCTACAGTAACCTTTCTAATGTGCCCACTGAGCTCTGAATTGAGTTATGAAGAGAATTTCACTGCCTTTCCATTTATTTGGCATACATCAAATATAACTGAGTAGGGATCTGGTTAAGGACTTAGATTGAAGCCTGGCAGTACAATCAGCATTCTACTCTAGATGTCTCTATATGCATCTTCAGCTGCCTGCTTAATGTGAATGCACGAAGAAAGCCTTTCTTCACCGAAGTTTCTATCAAATTAATAGTTAGCAATGAAATAGAAGGACTTGAAATGAACCAGATGAAGACCGTAACACCACAGCAGCACATCAGTGTTTCCTCAGTCAGAAGCCCCATGTAACATGCAGTGGTGTTGGGACTCACCTTTGTACTCAGGTGTGAACTCCTTCATTTCTGGGGGCAGGGACTCATAGAAGCGCTGTTCTCTGGTAATAAGAGGCTTGCACACGGTGTGGTCGTCGTAGCGCATCATGCTGCTGTGGCCACCCACCTGGTGAATGAAAGGCTCCAGCAGGACCCCTCTGTCTCCAGCTCGACTGGCATTCTTGCCATACTTGCCCACCTCCATGGTTTGACAAACACACATTGCGTTGGGCACCGGTGACACACTTGGGGCATGGGAAGAGCCGCATGGGCTGGGAGGGAACAGCAAGTCACAGCTAGAAAATCCCTGGTATTAGGATCGTTCTGATAATCTGGAAAACAAGAAGAATCCTGTGAGACAGGGTCACACTCTCAGACAAACCCCAGGCTCCTTGGGACATTTTACAACATGAAGCTCAGTAAGTTTTCTACTAAGGAAAACATGTCTGCAGACTTCCAATCACACTCCACTTACTACTGCTACTTGTCTTGGGGCCAGAGTTCCTTGTGCTCTCTCCTTACTACTACCTTGGTCTTCATGAACTCAGATTCTTTACAGCCACTATGAATTTTCCCTTTTTCTAGAGTCTCTCCTACACGTGTTTGCCAAGTGCTAAGAGAAAGGTTATATTGACTAACATTGTGATTCCACCATCAATATTTTGATTCCACCACTTTCCACTGTGTAGCTGACTATCCCATTACAGCAATGTCACAACATAGCACAAGTTACAGGGGAGATATCCTCGGTGAGATGCCAAACCTCTTCCCCTTTCCCTACTAACAGCAAGCATTAAGAACAGCACAGACACACCAAAAAGTCCTCTGGAATATAAATCCCACCACTACATTTTTAGGATCCAGTTGACTAAACTGGTAAATTCTACTTTGTCTTCTCCTACTTCCCCTTCCTAACATCTAGTGCTTCCCCTTCAACCCACATGAAATATGGTCCAACATCTTTCCAACTGCCTGCACTGATCCCCTCTGAAGCTGTTCACTGGCTTCTTGCTTCATTATTAGACACTACATTTGAGCTTCCTGCTGTTGCATCAAGGTATTCCACAATCACAGCTCTCTCTCTGCTTCCCTACTTCACCCTCCACTTTGCTACATCAGCAGTGTCAGCTTCCACACTCCCTCAGGCATTCCCACATATTCATACCTGAGCCATTGTTGTTAATGTGAAATCACATTAAAAATCACAGATGATCAAAATTAAGCTTCTTACTTTACACCCCCAACCTTCCCTCTTTTCTGTCAAAACGGATACTTTCGCTGCCCTATGTCATTCAGGCCTGCAACTGGGGCAATTGCTACACAATCTCTTTAGAGTAGGGGTGGGCAAAATACGGCCCTTGGGCTGTATACGGCCCACCAGGCACTTTCATCCAACCCGCAGCATCCACCAACGAATTGTGCCCTGCCCAGCCCTTCAACTCATAAGGGTAGGAGCAAGGCACCCATGCGTATGCGCACCCTACAACATATCCTATTGTGCCTTGCTCCCACCCTAGTGGGCAGAAGGGCCCAGCCCTGCCAGCAGCAGTTTCTGGTCAGGGCTGCTGCTGCCTCTGCTGCAGCCACCCCCATGGGAACCTGCTTGCTTTCCAGGTGTCCAGCTTGATTTGGCCAGCAGGCAGGGAAGACTGTGGTGGTGGGGACAGGGGCAGTGAAGCTGCAGCTGGGTGGGAGCGCAGAGGGCAGCTCAGAACCTGCACCTAGAGGGGCAACTGAAGCGCAGAGCTTGGTTTGGCAGGGTATGGGTGTGAGGGAGGTTGGCAGGTGTGGGAACCTCCCACACACTCCCCTAAATGGTGTGCAGCCCCCACTGTTGGCAGCAGCAGCAAGCATGGGCTCTCAGGTGCAGGTGCTGGCACCCAGCAGCGTGTGGCTCCAACCAGCACTATGGACAGTGGGGTTGTCACAGAGCACTCAGGTGCCCTGCACCTGAGAGCAGAAAAACAACTCAGGGGAGACCCCTAGTGGCAAGATGGGAGACATTCAGCTGCCTGTTGCCGGGGCAGCCAGGGTAACAGGTGCTGGTTGCCAAGACAACCGCTGGGGAACCAGCTGACAGGAAGGGGCAGGACCTGGCCCATATAAACCCAGGTGGGAGGCCAGTTCCCCTCTGGTGACCAAGGAAGGAGGAGCTCGGCCAGTGCAGACAGAAGGCACAACTCTGACCGTGTGAGCATCCCCAGAGTGCTGCTGGGGTTTGGAATATTTCCCCCAGTAGGGATCGAATGTTGTTTGGCTGGACGGGTTAGTTTTACATTATAGCTAAGGGGGCTTTGTATTTTGTGTTTGTTGTTGCGCTGGAGGACCGGATGAGGCTATTAGGGGTTGGAGGAAGCCTCATAGGGGCTCCACAGTAGTGTGGGGACCCCGGTGCCAGAGAGGGCACAACATCCGGGGTGTATTGACCCCAGCCCCACAGCGGGCAGTGGTGAGAAGCCCCAGAGCGGGCAGTGCAGGATAAGCCAGAGAGTGCTGGTAGGGGTGCAGGCTGTGGGACAAGCTAGAGGGCACCAGTGACGGTGCAGGCTGTGGGACAAGCTAGAGAGCGTCTGTGTGGTGCAGAGAGTGGAACACACCCGAACAACATCAGGTACATCTGGGA